TGGAAATGTTTAACAGTGTGTTTGTGATATGAGTGTGTGTTTGTATGGGTCAGGTTTTGCCTCCATTGCAGGGACCAGTCGATGCTCCCTCAATGAAAACAGCTCACTAAGCATATTAAGAAATGCCTAAATAATGGAAATGTAAAATAAAAACATAAAAAAATAACAAAAATTAGTGGAAAAAAAATGTTTTAATTAATTAAGAAAAAAGTCTTGCGTGTGTGTGTGGGGCGGGGGGTGTTAACTATTACATTTTTTAGTTTGGTTTAATTCTGAAAAAAGGCTTTCTTTTAGAGCTAATATACAGCAATAATAATTGCCTTTAAATAAAATGTAAAGTATAAAAATATGGGTAAAAATATGTAATGAATAGGCTGCTTCAACACTAACTGCGGTTACTGAAACCACGCCTTCTTTCTTTGCGTGCACATTTGGGCAGCATTATGCAAATATTTCCACATAGTGAGGTAGATATGTGGGGGCGTGTTAGAACGAGCCGTTTTAGGGGGGCGTGGCAGAGTCTTAACTTTGATAAAGAATATCTTTGGTTTTGAGACTTTAGTCTTTGCAACTTCAGGGATCTTATCTATGCACAATCAGCTTGTAACACTCCAAAGAGAAAGGAAAACTTGAAATCGCATCATATGACCCCTTTAAAACAAGAAAAGTCTCTTAAAGAGTCAAAGTCCTCAGCCTCACATACTGAAGCATATGTATTCATCAAATGTTTAACAAATTAATATTGCATTCTTGTTCCTACATTAATTCACCCTGATCCGCCGTCTCAGTGCAAAAACTCAGTTAAACGATTCACCACAGCTCGTCCTACATAATCACGATTCTTTGCATTATGATATGCCTGATTTCCCCTCCATAATTCATAACCCACCCCCACACTGCATGCATGTTGCATGCAGCTCCTCATCTTGAAGACAGCATCCAGTGCTACAGCACTTCCTGCAACCACTTTAATAATCTTTCTATAACCTCGCGGTGTCTATTAAAGTCTTTATGAATCTGATCCCTTTTAATCATGGCGTGTTTGGTGTTATAGAGTACCATGGTTTATGCCTGAATATTGATCAAGGTCTAAGAGCTGCTGTGCGGCCCAACGAGACAGCTGGAGAATTTCAAATCTTGTGTGTGTGTGTGTGTGTGTCTCTCTCTCTTTTCTGTCTGAAATGTTGCAATATGTGAATTTGCCAAACTCACAGACCAGCCCATGTTATTGCAGTAGTATTGATCTTATCTTTCACAGCTTTCCATCTGCATCACTGCTCTGTGGACACACCAACAAAAACATAAGACTATGTGTGTGTGTGTGTGTGTGTGTGTGTTTGTATGTTCTTGAAGAGAGTCTGACGAGACTGACTATGAATTATTTAATCCCTCTTTGTGTGGTTTGTTAAAATTAATCCCCTTGGCCATTCCCTCTCTGAACAGGGCGGCCCCTAATTGTCCTGGTAAAATTATTATACACTCACACAGTACTTGCCTTATTTAGAGAGCACAATCTTTAAGCAGATACAATCACCCATGCAGTAAAGCAAAGCAAGAAAAGGTGTTTGGAGTTCGAAGGTACTGTCACATTTACATGAATATAAAAACGGGCTTTATAGTTACACAAGGTTACCTAACAACACAGATTATTTGGACAAAACATACAGAACACTGGCATGAATAGAACATTCCAGGGGCCAGTAAAAACTCTTTCTTTATCAGTACCTCCACTATCTTGTACACAAACTGTAGTTTTTATCTTCTTGCAAAATTTTACCATGTAACTCATCTTGCATAGTTTCCATCTACATATTGTTATGAGAATTTAGAAATGCTGGATGGAAAAACCAAGATGTAAATAATTTCCAAAATGTGCATAAATACTATACTTGCTTAAGGTGGATACATTTTTATTCAGTAAGATGAAATGCGCATAAACCAAAGGTTGTGCTCCCTTCTGATTTGAATTGAAAATGTATTTTAAATTCCAGTTCAATTCCTGAAACAAACAGGATGCAGAATTAAATTAAATAAAGCCTTGTTTGAAGATGGATGGATGGTGAAATTTGCACAACCCTAGCAATAAACTACAACACATTCACCAAACTTTTTTCTACTTATCTGCTTTTTTAACTTTCCAAGAGATCTGAATTGCAATTTCCAACTGGCAGATAAAATATAAAACCCAAGTCATATCTAGAGACCAAAATATCAGAAACCTGGCATAGATTCTTTTGACTTTAGCCAGTAAGCAACCATAGAGTACATCTTAGCAATCACATGGCAATGCCACATCGTAATGGATTATAACATTCTAACTTTCACTATTTGATTTCATCTCTCTATCTATCTTTCTTCTCTCTAGATTGGTAGAATGTCTGAATGATGGAGTGCCTCTGGCCACCATTACTGTATTATTACATTGCATTACACTTATGCATTTGGCAGACACTTATCCAAAGCGACTTACATTGCATTCATTGTATATTTTATCAGCTCATGCAGGAATGCTGAGGGATATATTATGCAGTACTGTGTGATTGTTACAATACTATGCCCTCAATTCAGTGCTACAAATTTATGACCATACTGACAAGCAGAAAAGGGACCTGACAGACTCAGGATCCCTCATGGGGGGCTGACTATATTTAAAATCAGCTATGAAGGCGACAGCTAAAAGAGAAAGTGTATTTGTCAATTGTGGCACTACAGGAGGTCTCAAACCGTTCTTCCCGCATCCCACAGCAGCCCTGACGGCAGCTGAGTCTTCATTTCTCTGCATTATTGGAGGCCGTATGTCAGTCAGGCGGTATTTCCATGACCTTAGAGGTCAGCCGGAACCTGTCCCACACTGTTAGTGACAGGTTCGAGGGTGGAATGTGTTGAGTTTCACTCCTGAGCCTAATTGAAAGACTTGACCTCTCGACGAGGTCAAATACTACGAGGTGGCTGAAGCTTGATTTAATGTGACTTAACCAGGTCGCCGCTGGCAATCTAAGCCGCCCTCATCTAGTTACTCAGAGTGTTAATTATTTACACAGATCACAAAAGAAACACCTCATTTGTCTTATAGGTGTATTTATTTATGGCTTGGACTGATTTTTTTCCCCCAACAAGTCTGGGGCTAGTTTGCAGTCGCTTGTGTGGGAGTCCAGAAATTTCTGGAGGAAACTGGGTGCGTTTAATAAAATACTTGAGTCCTCTCATCCCTGACCAGGTGTTGGCAAGGTAATACTGTGAAGGGGTTGAGAGGCTGGCCGCTTTCTTGGGGCATGGTCTTGAGAGGTTATGCTAATGCTAACAGGAATTAGCCCGCCTGCACCCCTTATCACACTTGAGCATGCAGTTGCAGACTTTATTCAGTCAATCCAGGCTGTCTATATCCTTGACTTGAAACTTCACTGACTCTCTCTCTCCCTTGCTCCTAAGCAGTATTGCCTCCTTTTTATTTCACTTGGCGTTGCCATTGTTATTGAATGCTCCCTCTTGAGTCATCGGCTAAATAAATCTCCTTTTCCACAGAGGTCATTTTCTGTTGGCTACGGCAAACACCTCAATTTACTTCAGACACTGATAGGTACATACAGTTTGCTGACTGCACACAGCGGGGCTTGAATTTCATCGAATTACGTCGGCCACAGTGGCACCACATAGGAAAACGCACATAAAACAGTCGCTTGGTACTGAATTGAGCTTCTTTAGGCCAAAGACTTTAGTCCTTTTTTATGAGAGAGCCCAGTCTGGCTGTCCCAAGTCATATGGCACTTTGTGAAATATATTTATTTTCGAGGTTTCATTTTTGACATGGTCGAGCGGGCAGGTCATTTCCTGACATGGTATGAAGGCCTTTATTAGAGTACGACGCCTCCCCCCTGGACCCCTACAGCTTTTGGTAACTATCACCATATGTTTGAACACTCCCAGTGGACGTGTCGGTCAATTTTGGGAAGTATGTTGCATAAATTCACAAAAATTGGCTTATTTTTTTAAAGCACCAAACCTAATGAAGTTTTGTTTTTGTTTATCTATTTCCTAACCCCGGCTCCTTGAGGTAGGCAAAAAATGCAAGAAAGCAAAAACATCATTGACCTTGTGACCCCTAAAATCCTAAAAAGACTACAGGTGTCCAGACTTTACATTTATAACCCAGCATCACCACAATGAGAAATTCAGCATGCTTCTTACAGAGACAGTTCAACATTTACAACTGTCAACATTTATCATCATGTCATTCTAAACCTGTATGAGTTTCTTCTGCAGATCAAAAAAAATAAAAATTTGAAAAAGATATGTTAATTATTACTTGAAATGTTTAAACTTAAAATCAATCAAATTATCAAGTAACTATCTTCATAATAACTTGATATTACAAATAAAACTATAAATCTGTTGGTATTTGAATGTAGTTGTATCCAGAAGGAGGAAAGCATCAAGGCAAGATCAGGGATAAAATAAAACAAAATAATGTACAATTAAATAAAAAAAGGAAAATTAAATCAGAGTAAATTAAAATGAAAAAATGTGAATTAAAAATGAATAAATGTATAAACAAACAAACAAATAAATATGACCAAAATTAACATTATTACAATTAACATTGATATTTGGAAGACTGTTGCAACTGTTTTAATGGCAACAATTTATTTATTTATTTTTTAAACAGTGCAAGTCAATGGGTCAAAAACAATTTTTCAAAATATCTTCTATGTTCCACAGAAGACAGAAAGCCATACAAGTTTGGAACAACACGAAGTTGAGTAAATGATGACAGAATCCTTATTTTTTGGGTGAATTTTCCCTTTAAAAGACTTTGAAAGCTGTTTAATTACTACCTACAAGAAGCAGAAATTCAGACTCTTGATCTCAAAAGAGATTGTTTTTGAATGTCACGTAATTTACTTAAAACACACGTCTCTGTGCAGGTAATTACAGATGCTGATATAACGCTAATTACAGGGTACGCACATGGTAATCAGCATTATTTCACACTCTACCTGGCTCCGATGTAAAGGGTACGATTGACCTGCAGGATCCTCTGAATGTGTAAGGGCTCCTGTCTGAGAGATGAGCGATGGGGTCGTCCGAGAAACACAGGATACCTTCTCACCACTGAGGGAAAAAGCAGTAGATGAGACAGTGAGTGATAAAGGGAAAGAGTTGACAGAGGGTTGTATCATCTCTTCATTGCACTTCTGGGTGTGGGTGAGGTGATCCGTTAAGGCGAGAGGCGTTCGATCACTCGCGAGTCACACTTGAGATGAAAATGTTGACAGCTGCCTGTAGTTGCTCTTCAGTGGTTTTCACAGATAAAGTCTGTTCTCATGATCTGTCAGCCTAGTCAAGTAGTGCTGTTACCAGAGGTGTAAAAATGTACTGAGAAATGACACTTACCCTGAAACCTGTTACCTGACATTGATAATTTGGTAAATTTAAACATTTCAAGTAACAAACAACTATCTGGTTTTATAGTCATTTGATATTTGAATGTAATTGTAGCTGGAAGTAGGAAAGCATCAAGGCAAGATCAGGGATAAAGTAAATTAAATTAAATGCAAAATTAAATTACAAAACTGGGGAAAAATGTAATTAAAATGAAAAAATTTAAATGAATGAAAAATAAACAAATATGTAATTAATAATAATAATAATAATATTGAATAAAAAATTACAAAATTGACATGACACTTTTCATACTTCATGAAAATATATAGCTGCCTCTTTTTTTTTTTAAATGTTAAATTCATAAAAAAAATTATTTTAGTCATTTGATATTTAAAGTTGTATCTGTACGTAGGAAAGCATCAAGGCAAGAAAAAGGATCAAATAAAAATAAATAAAACAATGTAAAATAAAGTAAAATTCAATTGACATTAAATGAAAACATTTTTTAAAAGATAATAATAAAAAATATAAATAAATAAATGAACAAATAAATCAATACATTTGACCAAAATTTACATAATTACAATTTAATTATTCTTTCTTCACAAGAAAATATATAGCAGCCTACATTTATCTTTTAGGACTTTTAGAGAATTCTAAAGTTTGAAAACCCCTGTAGTCACATTTACCATTGCTCAGTGAAATTTTGCAAACTAAATCCATAATGTTCCAAAAATAACACTGTGTTAATGAGGTACAATTACACAAGTACTTTACACCCGTTTATTACTCTCCTTCTCTATATGTTCCTCTCTTTCAATATGTGATAAGACTTTCCCTAGAGATTTCCGCAGCTCCTCGTCTCTTCATCCTCCTACCCTGAGCATTATAAACCCCCTCGCTTTTCTCATCTTTCAGCTTAGACAGACCTGCATGAGTTAGGCTGGGATGCATGGAATCGATATTATTGATGAGTGATCAATCACATGCCTGCTCTGCATTAGAAAGTGAAAGCTGAGAGCCTGAGAGAGTAGACGGGGCCCAACCCTGATCCTGATGACTGCATATGAAATGGAGACATCGTTACCTTCAGTGGGGATAAAGTTCAGAGGTCCAGGTTCCTCAGGGAAGACCGCACACACCAACCGCAGGAGCCAGAAGAGCCCGATGAAAGCTTTGGCCACAGTCGTCATGGTAGTGGAGCTCCGGCACTATGACAGGAACATGCAAAAAAGAGTCAGGTGAGGTGGCGGAAGATCTAGCTGGATGCACATTTCTGGTTACATTCACTTAGTGAATAAAACTAGCACTCTGATGGACTCTAAAACATCTCTATCATCACCCCAGAGATTAAGATCAGTAATTAATTCATCCACCAATAGAAATTGTGCCAGTCAGCCCTAATGGTCCATTTGGTGTGGTGTGTCACAGAACTGTCATCAAAGACACGGGACCAAGGACTGAACTGCCCGGACGTCTAACAAAAGGCTTTCACAGAGAGCCAGAAATGGGGAGGGGGCTGGAGCGCATGTGAGTGGGAAGCTCTGTTTAAAACCTAGAGAGCTGCCCTGCTGTCTACTGCCACAGGCAGCATCCTAACCGAAATAAACATTTGAAATGTGCTACACACCAAGTATATACCACAGGGATTTTTTAAAAAGTCTTCATGGAAGAGTTATAAGCCATGAACCAAACCAACCAGCTTCAGTGAATCATCACAAACTTTAATTCGAAGCAAAAAAGTATTAGGGGGAAAAAAGGTACAGGACTCTGTACATGACAGCTTTAATAAAGAACAGAACTACAATGCCATGAAGCAATACAAATGACAATCTAATTAAAAATGGTATATACAGTACATACAAAATTGTCGATTTAAAGATGCTGATTATACTGCAATTAGAAACAATATGTTAACTAATACACCATTCACAGTGCTTCATGGGAGTGGGTGGGCACTAAAGCATTCTTTTAGCATGATTTGCATGTCGCAAATCTCTGATTGGTGGAGATATCTTTCGAGAATCATGGGTAATTTGATTTTTGACAAGGAATTATACTGTTAAAAATTATCTTTTTAATAAAAAAATTAAAAAGTTTAAATAATGTGGGCTGATGGCTTTAAAAAAAGCATATAGCATTGATTAACAACCTTGTAGCTCACAGTTGGTCTGTCTTTAAAAGTTTCTAAGTTATCATTCAAATAATAATATCCTATGAATGGGATTTTTACATAGCAAGCACTATGTTATAGTGTATGGAGCTACAGTACTCTCTGTAGATACTGTATGGAGCTACAGTATAGATACCATCACCAAGTTTTTTTTTCATAGAACTTATGAGTGTGGCTGCATATCTGTGCACTTTACTACAAGTAGAGATGGACTTTTAAATTGAATGCCTGTAAAAAGACAGGTATTGTATTTTTTTCAGAACTCCTGCCCTCTTGAAAAAAAAAAAGACGGCAGAAAGAGAGAAGATGTGATGGAAACACAAATGTCATTCAAATTAAAGTGCAATGCAATCTATGTGGAAAATTACCTCTGCACTTCAGAGAGGCACATAGAAGCTCTGGAGAACTGTCACCATAGTATTGTCTGTAATAGTCTAACGTAATAGTACAGTCTGAAAAAAGGGATTTCAATGGACAGATGATACATGTATGATTGCGTGTATCTTTTACTGGTTTGAGAGACACCAACACCGTTTTAATAGCTCCAAAAAAAAAAAAAAAAAAAAAAAAGGTATAATTGGTGCATCAAGTCTATACACACTTAAATTTTCCATTAAAAATGCAACCAAATCCTTGTGTTGTTCCAAATTAGGGATGCCACAATTCTCAATATAATATTGAACCGTTCGGTACGTCATCCATGGTTCAATAAGCGCTTGTGTATTGTTTTTGTTTTTCAGTTTTGCATATAATTTCTGTGAGTCTACACGCTGAGATGAGGAAATGCCTCCCCGCTTATATCATGCATTTGAAAAAGCAACACGCCTAACATCTTCCGCTGTAATGACTTGCAATGAGAGGCATTTCTAAACCTGTTGTCCAACAAAAGACAACATTATAACATGTTTTTACTCCACAACATCAGTCGAGTGTTTGAAATAACTTCCTTTTGTGATCTGATGTGGCTTCTTATCACAGAATGAGGCAGAAAATATATTCTATACTGTAATAAAGGCTATGTCCATTAACAATGGATTACAAATATACTTAATTATTATGAAAATACCCAAGATGGTTTGAACACAGATAAACCATATATTGCCACAGTCAAGTGTTTATTGTCTTCATGTTTCATCATTCAAAACATTTCTATCTTTTATTCTGCTACAGCGATAGCTGGATGCCTTTGTCCATATTAGGGATTTCCTGGAGTGTCATGAATTCTATTGCTTCTGTGATGCATATGTGGATTTCCTGAGCGAGGGCACCCTCCGGCTTCCAGTATGAATGAAACAATGTTACATGTGTTGATAGCGCTCCATAAAAGGCCAATCCACCCTATTTTGGGTATAAATAGGAAAAATAATACTTCTCTCAAAATAAATTTTAAGTAGACATATGATAATACATGTCTTTTTCCAGTGTACAGAAGTGTACAGGAGTTTTTTGTTGTTTATTTGTTTTAAATTTCACATTAAATCGCACAAAACACTCTGATGTGCCAAGCCATCAGAACCGAACTGAACCGAACTGAAAACCGAGGCAGCCTATGTATTGAACCGTGGGCTAACTGTATTGTTGCATCACTATTCCAAACTGACTTTCCTTCTTCTGTGAAACTCAATGAGAATATATTTTAAAAAATGTTTACACTGTTTTGTCCATACAAGGAAAGTCAGTGGGGTCCAAAACAACATTGGAACCCATTGACTGTCAAAAATAAATCTTATTTTGTGTTCTGCAGTAGAAAGAAATGCATATAGGATTGAAACAACATGAGGTTAAACAAATAATGAGAGAATTTTTATTTTTGGGTGAACCCTTTAAAACTACAGTAATACTTGTACTGGGTTTTGATTAAGCCAGAGGAACAGATCAAGAATATTGAACAGCATAACAGAACAAAGCAAAGCATTTCTCAACAGAACATAAAGGTCAATAATGGAAAACCAGAATTTATGAAATGGCACAGGATGCTTTTCATACCTTTTTGAATTAACTGTACAGTGATCTGTTGTATTTGCACAAAAGAACGGCTGAAAAACCTGGGAAATTACAAGGCCGGTATTATCATGCGTTTCTGATATACTTTCCACAGCGGTCAATGGTTTCAATAGCATGAAACTCAATATAAGAATGAGTAGTATCTCTCTGCCTGAGTGTTAACAAGCTGAGAACATTTGCTTTGAAACTTTAGTGGAAATGTTACAGTCACAGTGCAAACATAAACAAATCAGCATCAGTTGAGCTTTTCAGCACAGCAGCGTTAAGACGGCACGTACATGTATTAAAATCCAACAGCCTCAATTTCTTTATTCAAAAAAACCCTTCTCATTTTCCTTTGGCTAAGCGACAATTGAGTTACACAATGCAAAGCAGCCAGCTCTCATTTGTCAAAGCTTGGACTTGCTGTCCAAAACGCACACATGTACATGTACACACACAACTACATCCATTGTGGGTCTATTTCTATAGTGAAATGACTTGTGACGTTTTATCAGGGCTAACTATCTTTCCAGGACATTTCTAGAATTCCTGCTATTGAAGTATGAACAAGGCCGCCCCACACGCTAATAGTTCAAAATACCCAATGCAGCAAATTACGCCCAACAATAGACTTACATGAAGGAGAAGAAAAAGAGAGAAAATGAAAAGAGGCCAAATGGGGAATGAAGGCAGATGGAACAGGATAGCTTAAACTTGAAGACGCTATACATAAGTTGGTATCAGTGATTCTATTGTCTTGCTACAATTAATCATTTACGAGTATGTGCCAGGCCTCACACATTTAATTAGCATAATTAGAAACTCTGAGCTATAGAGTTTCAGGGGACAGCAAGCTAAACAGATGCAGAGGGGGTGAAGTAAATACAAGCAAGGATATAACAGATATAACATACACCATTCTGCTTTTTTAATTACGGCAAATGTTTTGTGGGTTATTTAGACCTTATCAAATTAACAACCAGTCAGTAACTATAAAGCCTTTTTCAGACTGTCAGTTCAAATCCGATTTTTCTGCATATCTGATTGGAATCTGATTTAAATGATTTGACTGTCCACACTGTGTATCACATCTGTTCAGATCCGATTTGTGTCTGTGGCGTTTTTTCGTTTTACTGAATATCTGCATTGGTTTCTATGGCAATGACATTGCGTTGGTATGCCTACACTAAAAACAACAGTAACAGTAATACAGTTTGCAATACTAATGTTGTCTTACAACATGGCAACATGTTGCAGTCACGCTGGACTATAATAGATCTTATGAGGCAGCGGCAGAAACGTAGGAAGCTGGAATGCGCGGTTTTATTCTGTGCTGCCGTCTCCATCGGTCTCAAAACTCAGAGGTTTGTAGGCAAGCACTATATTGTCATTTGACTTTCACGTTGCAACAACACAACCTTGTTTCTGCCAAGACATTCAGCATGCTTTCTACAAACAACATCTCACATTTTTACATTGTACATGGTGTGAGAAAGTGATGCCATGCTAATTCTGATCTGAGTGACTGAAACCGATTTCCAAAAAAAAAAAAAAATGCTATTTGAATAAGATTTCAAACCACATATGAATGTGTCTTGAAACAGACTTGTTAAAAATCGGATTTCATGTGATTTTTTGCCGTTCAGACAAGCGAAATATGATCGGATTCCAATCGGATATGCACAAAAATCGGATTTGGACTGACAATCTGAACAAGGTTTAAGTATCATAAGCCTAACAACACAACACAGTAACAGAGCGTAAGCTGTATGTGTTTGATTCATTAAAAAGAATCAATTCAAAATGGTGCAGTCACATTTACCATTGTTTGGTGAATTTATGTTCAGGGATAAGATATACTGGTTGTGCTGTATGCATTTTATTCACTAAAAAGAATTGATTCATTAGAGTCATTCGCTCAGAGATGAGATGCATTGGTTGTGCTGTATGCGTTTGATTTGCTAAAAGAACTGGCTCAGGAATCAGACTACACTGATCAGCGTGATTCAGTAGCGGCATTGCAGTGATGCTGAAGAGTAGTGGAGGAAACAT